AAATCTCCAGCTGGATATTAAGGCAAGCAATATTTGTTCATCAATTGCTGGGTTTTCTTCCTAAACTCTGAGTTCTTCCTAAATTATGATACCTTAGGTTTCTCCACAATCAAGCCTTACTTTCTGTGGCAGTAAGAAAGAAAGGAAGAAAAATTGTTAAAAACTCTAATTCCCTCTTGATTATCCCATCCCTAGACCATAACTGAAGCCTCAACCAGGTAACCTAACTCCATTGCTAGACTCATAACTCTAATCCCCCCTTTGATTATCTCATTTCTAGAGCTGTAACTCAACCCTTAGCCAGGGAACCTAACTCTATTTCTAGAACCTTAACCAGGAAAGAAAAGGAGGAAAAGTTGTTAAAAACTGTAATCCCCTCTTAGATTATCCCATTTCTAGATCCATAACTTGATCCTTAACCAGAGAACCTAACACTATTGCTTAACTCTCTCAAAATTTAATGTAGAAGCTCATTGTTTCTTGAGCTCCTAATTTAGAGGCCTCATTAGATCAATTAGCAATGAAGTACTAACTTCCTTGTTAAGATGCTAGCAAGCAAAATGTTGTTGTTTCCATTATAAAGTTTTTCCTCTTTTCGTGATCCTATATGGTCTAATATATTCTTGGAATGAGAAATACAAAGATCAAAAGGTTCACCTTGGTTGCTTTGTGTTATATACCCTCTAAAGCAAAAAAAAGGAATGTACATCCTGAATACAATTTTTCAATGATAACAACGACTTGAAACTAGTTGTGTAACTGAATCTTGTTAGGGAAATCAAACATATTTCGAAGAGTACGAGTTATATAAGACCTTTGACAGAGAATTCACTTCAGTAATAACTGTTCAATAAAATTAGTTGATGAGAAGATTGATAGAGGGGCAAATAGACAAACTGTGGCCCCATATTATGTAACAACTTTGCAACAGAATACATGTCAGCAGCTGTCTCAAGTGGAATACCACCAAGTAAAGCAGATGCCTCTTTGATACTTGGGGTTATTATGTCTGCCAAGGGAAAAAGCTCCCCACTGCATTCAGGAATCAGATATCACAAATTACGCCGTGAGGTTAACTTTGAATATAGATATAGAAGAAAAGATGAAAATTTACTCAACTAATGGTTCTGATAGCTTATTCAGTCATTCATGCTATAATGTGTAGGAGTTTTCAAGCTGCAATCAATGGGGCAAGACAGGTTTTGCCTACATATAATTTATAAAGTAAGCTCTAAGAAGGATCTGCTCCTCAGAACATTTTCTATGGCCATCATTAGGGATCAAGTTGCCTTTCCCTGAGGATGCTAAGAGATTAGATAGTCTTATTGTCTTTACAAAACTGACTGTGTTCAGTTATTTGATGTTTCTATGTTGATTGCTAGACAGGATGAAAAGAATAAAAAAGATGATAGGAAAGCTCATGCAGGACAAAGAGAGCTTGAACAAAAATATATAAAAGAAATTTATCAAGAATCAAACTTGAAGATTTTAGATCATAATAATCACATCAATAACTCAATATTGAATAACAATCATAAATAGTCTACCAAATAGTTAACCAGCCTTTATTGCCGGAAATAAAAGAAAAAAAAAAAAACTAAACACATAACCAGCCCTAATAGCCAAAATTCTGCAGCTATCTTGCTGCTGCCCAGCCATCCTTCATAGCCAAAAAACACCCAGCCGAACTCTGTTTTGCAGAATCTGTTTTCGGCGGCCATTGTGATATTTTTCCAAACTCTGTTTTAGCCGCCACTGCTCTGTTTAGCCTATGTTTCCACTCCACCCGGTGTTCTGTTTTGCTCTGCCTCTGTGCAATCTGCTTCTTTCCTGTTCTGTTCCGCATGACTGCTTTGTTTCTATATTACTCTGTTCCGCTCGGCTGTTTAGCTCTGTTCTGCACAGCCACAAAAACCTTTGTTCGGCTCTGTTTTTCCACATCCTCTGTTTCGTGGAGAACAAGTGATCAATTCTACTTTGTTCCCAGCCTTCATTGCTAGCCTCATACAGCCAGCGGCACCCAACCAGCTGAGCACAGCAAGCTGCGCGTCGACCAGCTGTTTCCCTTGCACGGATTTCACGATCTTCGTTGCCGACTACTGGAACTATGGGCCTTCATCACTCCAACTTTTTTATCATGTCTAAACTTACATCAAAGGTTACTGGCACTAATCTCAATATGGCAACAGTATAAAACTGAACTGGAGAAGAGAACATCATATCTTAGAGAATGCAAAGTAGAGACTGAAAGATTAAGGACTCGATTTGTGTCATTGGAGAAACCTACAGGTACCAATTTATTCACACACTTAGAAATGTTTTCTATCTCGCATGGACTAAATGCCTTAAATAAACCATTTGCAGTGTCCTAAAATATAGGCTCGGAAGGCACAGATCACATGACTAACTCTTCTAAGTACTTTAACACTTATGTTCCATGTCCAACAATAAGAAAACAGTTAGAGGTGATGGTTCACTGACCATTGTACCAAAAATTGAAAGTATAAAGATTAGTCTCCACTTTACACTTACTAACATATTTCATGTTCCTAATTATGCCAAAATCTTATTTCAATGACCAAATCATCACGACTTCAATTGTAAATTGATTTTTTCTTCATCTTATTGTGAATTTCATGACCAGACCTCGAGAATGATGATTGGACATACTGAGACAACAGGGGTTCTGATTGTTGAATACACATGAGATGCCATCTTCCGCTCTCTCCACTAATACGTTTGAAAAAATATGATTACACCATTGACGATTAGAACACTTTTCCTTTTTATTGACAATTTAATTCTGTTGTAATTGTCAAGAATAAATTTAATAATCAAACAAACACTCAGAATTTTATTAATAGAAATAATACAAAATTTACAACACTTATAAAACAAAATTTCATATCCCAAACTCGCTATACATTACTTTATTGAAACTAATAAATCTCATTTATTTTTTTTCACCTCACGTCCCCAATTGTTTTTTTTTCTTGACACTTATCTTTAACCTGTATATGTACATACTTATATAAGCAACAAAATTGCTGTTCCACTTCCCTCACTTTATTGCTACCATTTTGTATTCACCTTCTTTATTATTGTTGTTTTGCCTTCCCCTCTTTACTATTGTCACCTCACTTTTCCCCTTCTTTATTGTTAATTTATTCAAGTTTAACTTTGCAACATTAATTAAGTCAAGTTTAATTTTCTAACATCCTCCCTTAAACTTGATTTATTTAATCTCAACATTTTCTTTAGCTTGATAAATATATCTGTTTTAAGTGATTTTGTAAAAATATCTGCGATTTGATCTTCAAATGCACAGTACTCGACCATGATCTCTTTATCTTTCACCAACTTACGGATGTAGTGATGTTTGATGTCCATACGTTTGCTACGACCATGGAACATTAGATTCTTTGTTAAGGTGATAGCTGATTTATTATTACAATAGATTGTCATTGGACCATCTTATTGATATTTTAATTCATTAAGCACCCTCCGTAGCCAAATTGCTTAGGTAGTGCAACTTGCAGCTGCTATATATTCTGCTTCTGCTATTGAAAGAGCTATTATTTGTTTTTTTTAGAGGACCAAGAAAATGTACCTAAACCAATATCAAACACAAAACTTGAAATTCTTTTTCTTTCTTCAGTGTCACTAGTCCAATCACTGTCTGTATAGCCAATTAATTCCATTTTGTTAGTGATTGAATAGAATTTCATCATCAAGCGTTCCTTTGATATATCTCAATATTCACTTTGTAGCTTGCCAGTGAGACTGTAGTGATGATTTTATAAATCTGTTCACAATACCAACTCTATAAACAATGTTAGGTCTAGTTGCTGTTAAGTACCTCAAGTTTCCAATAAGTCTCCTGAAGTTTGTTGCATCAACCAAATCACCGCTGCCGTCTTTCGCAAGCTTTAACCTTTCTTCTGCTGGTGTTAGTATTGGTTTGCAGGCTTCCATCTTAAATTTCTTCAAGATATCTCCTGTGTATTTTTTTTGTGAAATGAATATGCCTTTATCTGTTTGATTGATCTTAATACTAAAAAAGTAAAGCATTAACCCCATATATGTCATCTCAAAGTGCGCAATCATGTACTCCATGAATTCTGATAGAAGTCTTGAATTATTGTCGGTGAAGATCAAATCATCCACATAAAAGTAAACAACAGCAATGTCTCCATCCTTGTTTATTTTGATATACAGAGTATGTTCGTACAGACACTTTTGGAAACCATGATAAAGAAAATAGGTGTTAATACAAGTGTACCATGTCCTTGGCACTTGTTTAAACCTATATAAAACCTTTTTTCAACCGATAAACTTTATCTTCTTCACCTTGTTTGTCATAATCAGGTGGTTGTTCAACGCACACTTTTTCTTCGAGTACACCATTTAAAAATTCTGACTTTATATGTATTTGATATGTTTTCCAACAATTTTGGGTAGTAAGCAAAATGATCATACACACAGTATCCAATCTAGCAACAGCGGCAAATACTTTCAAAGTAATCAATATCTAACTTTTACTTGTATCCTTTTGTAACTAGACTCGCTTTAAATCGTTCCACTTCTCTGTTAGATTTGTATTTGTCTTGTACACCTATTTGACTCCAATTGGTTTCTTCTTTTTTGACAAAACAGTTAATTCCCATGTATTATTTTTCTTAGTGGCAAAAATTTCTTCATCCATTGTTTTAATTCACCAATCATCATTAGATGCTTCTTCGAACACTATTAGATCATAATCTGCAAAGAAAGCATAATGAACAACATCTTCATCATCGTCAGAATCATCACTAATTTTATAATCCTTTAAATAAGCTGGTGGACGACAATCTCGTTGTGAGCGTCTAAGTATAGAAGGAGATGAAGCTTCTAAAAAGACACCAGATGATTCTTCGGAAACCAGAGGAGAAGACTGCTCACCAGTGTGATTATTTGTTTCTATTTCGTTGTTTATGAATAGCGAAACTGACAACAATCTCTTTTCTTCTTCTCACCATTCCCATACTCCATCTTCATCAAAAGTTAACACCACGGCTAATGATTATCTTTTTGGGCCTTTGGATTGTACACCTTGTAGCTCTTTGTTTCCATACAGTAACCAGTGAAGATGCATTTGTCCGCTTTGTCTTCAAGTTTTTTCCTTAACTCATCTGCTACATGTGAATAAGTAATTGAACCAAATATCCTCATACGACTCAAATTAGGCTTTTGTTCGCTTTACACTTCTTGTGGGATTTTATTACGAACACTTTTAACAGGACATCTGTTTACAACATAAACTGTACAAGCAATGGCTTCTGCCCAAAAACTTAGGTAACTTCTTACAATGCAACATGCTCTTCACCATATCCATAATGGTTCTATTTTTTCTTTCTGCCACTTCGTTTTGTTGAGGAGTGTACCTAGTCAGTAACTGATGCTTAATTTCATGTTTTCTTAAAAATCATCACAAGTAATATATTATGTGCCTTTATCAGTTCTTAAAGTTTTGAAAGAGTAACCAATTTGCCTTTTAACATATGCCACAAAATCCTTGGCTACTCCACATGCATCAAATTTATGCTTCAAAAAATGTAAGGCTGAATATTAAGATAAGAACAAAATGCTAGTCAAGATAAATCTGAAAATAACTTTTAGGTAACTACTCCTTTGTTTGTAACAAAAGCTGCAGTCTCTTGGAGACAGAATTATGTATGAAGACAGAATTACGTATGAACAAAACTAAAGAAAAAGTTTAAGTACTTTTTCTCAAGAGAAAGTAAGGCTCTCTCTTGACGAGTCCTTAAAGTAGATATCAAAATAGGCAAAGGAAAAAAAAACTCACAAACATTACCAAACTCTTATTAGATTCAATTTTCTATAACTAGATATGTCACTAAGGGCCTTAACAATTTGGTCTCAGAGCCAAAAGTTATGAGTGAATTATAGCCAAGGTTTGAATTACAGGCCAGTTTGAATCTTTCATGAAAATTTACCAGGAAGATCATGAAGACAATCAGTTAAAGTACAAATTTCTGGCTGGCAGATTGGAAAAAATCTTTTTGAAATAAGGTAGATTGGAAAAATTATCTATAGACCATCCACATCCACACGAACAAGCAGAGGGGAGTGTTCAACCAGATCCAGTTGATAGGAACATATCAAGCTTGAATCCAATCCCATTAACCTTGATTAGGGATATAAAATTTTTTGTGCAATGGAAATTGGTAATCCTATGAAAAAATTAAGTATTGCGGTCCCCCTACTACAAGAACCTAGATCTCTGCCTTCAAACCACTTCCACCATAAGAATCAAGTTTGTCAACCTTCCCTCTCCCTTTGATTGAGGACATCAATCTGCCTAGTCCTTCCCAACAAACCTACCACCGTTATTGAAAGCAGAGCTCCAAGCTTTTATTTGGATTGGACGAAAGAAAGATTTTTAATAACTCGAGAACTAGCAAAAGCCTCTCGAGTTCTCCTCTCTTCACCAACTTATAATCAACCAAGATCTAGGCATCTTCAGCCATTTATTCTAAAATCTAGAGGAAAGTGGCTCATCTAATGCCAAATTTGCCAAGAAATAAGGGATGGTGATTCAAACTGACCCTGAGCAAAAGTTTTGGATAAAGTTAGGCATCAATTCTTAAAAATACAGAGACACCAAAATTGATCGATATGAGGTAGGCAAGCATCCTCTCTCAAAATGGACCATGTCCATTTGCCCTGCACGAGGGAGAGATAAATAACCTTCCAGTATCCAACACATCTAAATTCATAGTAGACACCGAAGAGAAATCTGTTCTTGCACTTATCATGATAGTAGAACACTGTATTAAAACCACCACCCACAAACAAAGGCAAGTTACCCCATTAACCCCTAGTTGCCTCAAGATCATTCCATAACAAATGCCTATCTCTACCTTTCCCCTTTCCATACACCCCACGAAAAGGAAAGAAACACCCCCACTTCTGTTTTTCATACACAAGAAATGGGCACCATCAGTGTACAACACCGAACATTTCTGGTTGATTTTCCCACAAGATAATGATTTCTCCAACACTCCCATCTGCAGATAGATCCAATCAAACAACCTCCTGCCTACTGTATGTACCCTGAAAATATCCTCACTCATGCTTGCAAATTTAGTATCTAGCAGAAAAACTAGACTGCCACCCCATTCCTTAAGGAAGCCCTTCATTATGACCCCTTAACGTTCAACCCCCTCATGTTCCAGAAAATAATTCTAATTAATGGTTTCATGTCTTCTTTCTCCCTCAACTTCCTTGAAGTGCCCTTCTTACCATAATTGGCTATGCATTCTAACCATTTAAGCTCCCTAGATTTTCTTGTTCTTTCACCCTTGCCCCTCCTGTTCCTGCTTTTATGAGACCTGTCATCAGTGGACTCTCCCTCTCTTTTAGCCTCCATAGCACAGAACAAATTGAATGCTTGTTGTTTGAAACCTTACAAGCTCACTTCATACTCCTTATGCATCTTCACAATATTATTTTTCACGCAAACAGAAACTTCTCTTTTGTTCATCAGCCCATTACAGCAAACACCATGCCCTGCAACTGGTTTACTACCTTAGCAAGCATGGGAGCAACCTCTCCTTTCACAAGTTCCAAGTCTAGCCAAAAGAGGAGGAAATTCCAGAGAGGAAGAAATCAGACCTTGATAAACAATGTGAAGACGTTTCTACCTCCACTTTTTATGCATTGCCTTGAGACTGGCAGTTTGGCTCCCTAGTTGAAAAGCAAGCCTTTTGATGAGGAAGAGTGCTCTAAAACATGGACTTGGTGACGTGGGAGGGTCGGGGAATGATTGTTTTGACTTCCAAAACCTCACACAACGTGACACCGGAAAGCTTAATCACCCAATTTACCCTCTTTACTTGAAATTACACCCACCAATATGGAATGCAAATTCAAAATAACTGGAAAAAATAAAAGAATAAGGAAGGATGTCAAAGTTTACCCGATAAATCAATCCTGATTCCCTGACTCAACAAGGCTTCTGAAACTCCCTACCTTGAAGACACTTAAAGAACACTAAAAGAAAATCAACAACACTAATTTTAAGAAGCAAAATCTTGCAAATTTTATTGATCTTGAAAGTTGTTAGTTGTGATTACAACCTAAAGATTGAAACCTTTATATAGACTTTATTTTACGAATACAACCAAAGTAGGATTACATATTCCTACTTGAACTCTTAAAACTAATTTAACCAGAACTTTTGCTGGAAATTATTTAAACAATTGAATCTTAATCTAGAACTCCAATTATATTAATAAAATAATATCGAATGACTAGGAGTAGACTACTTCTTCCTTTGTTTGAACTCCTTAACTCCTTTTGTGCTCTTTTGGACTTCAATTTTGTGTAGGAGCCTCCTTTGTTGCAGCATGGAAAACATGTGGAAATAAGGGAAGGAAAAGGAGTTGGAGAAGGAAAACAGCTTGCTGTCCAGGCTGTCCGCGTGCAATTGGTTCGCAAGCTTGCTGTCTGCGCCTAGCGCGCGTAGAAGCTTCTTCGCGTGCATGGCTGGTGCATGCATGCGGCAGAGGCTGTCCCCACATGCGCGTCCTGCATGTGGCCTGCTGGAGTTAATGCGCGCACATGCGCACTCTGCTGCAGGCGGCTTCGACTTTTCCCAGGCGTGTTGGCTTTGTGGCTTGTTCATCCCGCACAAGCGTGTGGCAAAAGCTTCCCAAGACGCGGCATGGGCTGGCCCGCTTCCTTTGGCGCGATCTCCTTTGGGCCGTGGCTGTTTGGTCTTGAGGCCTTCTCTGGTTGATCTAACATTTGGACTTTCTTGCAATCCTTCGAGCCCATTAATCTCACTTGGGCTTTAAGCTTGCTTTGAACAAATTTTTCCCATTCTTTGGAGTAATCCCGTTGAGAAAAGTAGTTAGAGATGTAGTTACTTTTCTTTTCAGGGGGTTCTAGTTTAGGAAACTAGGATTATTTCCCGTTTGAGTCGACCCCATTTAGGAAATGAAAAGAATTTAGAATTGCTTGCCTGTTTGGGACAAGACCTACGAGAATCCTGATTTTTTGGGGTTCCTCCTCGATGTGGGGTTGCTCTTTGGGAACTAACTTTGAGCCGTCTAGGATCATGTCACTTGGTCTGGTTTTTTTATTACCAGCTTGGTTGTTTTTGCAAGGTCTTTAGGAAACAGCATTACTAGCAGCCTTTTTATGGTCATTAGCAGCTTACTTTTCTTTCTCTTGCCTAGAGGAATTTGGTCTTGGTAGATTTGGCCCATTAACATTATCCTTAGGCCTCTAGAACTGGCGATTTCTTTGGCATCTCTACCTCTTCCTCCGACCAGCAAGGTTCCTCAAGGGCTTTCCTCTTCCTGTCCTCTAAATTGATGTCGGAAACCAAACAAACCCCCATTGACAGTTGCCACCAACCCTCTGCTTTGGTTTGAGGATCATCAAACTCCCTTTACTGCCCTTGTTCTTCTCTTTCAGCTCTAGAAGATGCCCCTGCTGTTCCATTTCAACCAGATAGAGATAACCTGCCCTCACTCTTATAAACTCTGGATCAAGAATTATGGCCCTAAAGCTTCAAATATCTGATTTCCAAGCTAAGAAGATAAGAGGCGAACCTTTTTCTGATTCTAAGGATATCCTCCACTTCTGCTTGCAAAACCACATCAAAAGATCTTTTTTCTGACACCAAAAACATTCTTGGTGACAGAAACAGCACGGTAAAAAGCTTAAACAGCCAAGAAAAATGAAGTGTGAATCCCCCAGAAGGACAGCATGGGGATATCTCCAAATGCTGTCAAAATTTAAATCGTATTGGGACTTAGAGCATTTGGGCTTTTTTTTCCCTAGATTAGTTTGTTATGTATTCTTCAAAATTAAATCCCAATTTTTTAACTTAAAAAACTTGTATTGGATCTTATCAAATCCAAGTGCTTTCATAATACTCAATTAATATTGGGAGCATTGATCTCTTTTTCAATTTGACTACTTTATTATCTTTTCTTCAAATTAAGACCTAATTTTTCAACTCAAGAAAATTATATGTAATCTTATGAGATACCATAAGCTCAGTTCAAATTGGGACTTATAGCGACTGATAATTTTCTTCTGTCCAATAGTTTATTATAATTTCCAAAAAGAATATTAAATTTCCTTAATTATTTCTTCTTTTGCGCTTATAAAATGCATACACATACTGCTGTAAGTTTATCTGTTCTAAAAGACATAATTCATGACCAATTACCTCAATAAAATCAAACCAGTCAGACCAACTCACGAAACCAGTTGAATGAAATACCCATAAAATGTAATCATTACTGCTCTGCAACAAACTCTGCTGGCAAAGCGTTAATACCCTGAGAAAAAGAACAATAGATCAGAGAAACCATAGAACAAAGTTGGCTGTCAAACTGGAACAAACGAAAAAGAGATTATTTAGACGAATTGTAACCATAAATTTGGTAGTAAGATTTATAAGATACCTCCACCGAGCTGTTTGAGAAAATCTTTGAGTAAACAAAAGCTTGCTTCAATTTCGGGATTTTTTTTTTTTAAGGAGAAAAGTAATATCAAAGTGCAACCTGAACCCCAACATTGTTCTGTGCCGTGACAGCAGTTATGACAGTGGAACAGTAAACTCCACGAGCAGCACAAGTTTTCAAATCAGCTTGAATTCCAGCACCAGCTCCTGAATCAGACCCGACAACAGTTAATACATGGGAATTCTCTTGTTGGAGCAATCATTTGTTGTTGTAGAACCAGTTATTTGCGCCACAAAACGTTGCTTTTGATAACTTCTATCGATGTTTGAATCCATAGATGAGCTTGAAAGTGTCAAGTAACGGAATGTGTAGTGAGAAGCTTCTCTAGGGCTCGACAGCAACCACTTGAGAGATAGAATGTTACATTATAGTCAGACCAAAGAATCACAGAAAACAAAGTCATAAACTAATTCCAACGCTGAAACAGATGAAAGTATGTAAGTGAATAAGGAGATGCAATCGAAAAAAAATCTGTTTGGAGTGACTCACATTGTTGAAGAATAAGGGATTGTAAAGAACTCCTGCAAGAGCCATGTAAGAAGTAAGGATATTGATTAGTCTTTCTTCGCTTATCGTTCTACATCCGTATGGCACTTGGCGGTCAAAAGTAACTTCTTTTACAAGTTCTGGTGGAAGACGACCGTAGAGATACCTTACTCTTTACCTGAAATTATAGATGACAGTGGTCGTTTGTAAGGGAATCATTTATTTTGTACAGCTTATTTATCATGTAATGCTAACACTAGTCTTACCCTACAAAACTTTTACGCCTCGTAAAAACACAATTCAATTCAAAACAAAAATCAAAAACCATTTGCAGTGATAATGGAAAAGAATTTGAAATGGGGATTTGTACCTAAAAAAATGGAATTGTCCACCAATAGAGGTTTGTGGAAACAGCTAAATCGAACAAATATTTACTTAATAGAATACCCTCATATGTTTTTAACCACAAAACTCTATTTGTGCCTAGGTGGATTGGGATTGGAATTTCACTAAGTCTGATAATTAGGAAATCTCAAATCAAACTATTTGAAACTAGGTGGCACATAAGCTTAGAAGGGATCTGCATATGTATTATGTATGTATACATATGCATAGTTTTAGATTAAAGGAAAAATTCGTGTATATACGTTATACAATTTACCTTCTTTTCTTTTCTTATATCATCACTATTCTTTTATTGTTTTTTTATCTCTCGTTTCTCAATGATCTATTTGGATTTCTGTTTCTTCTCATAAAATCTTTTTTCTTCATCAAAACTTACATCTTTTCTTCCTCTATAGCCAACATGCATGTTCCTCTTTTTTTTTCTTCTTTAAGGGGTCTGATTTTGTTTTAATTGAAACGACATCATTTTCAGGCTCCTTTCTTCTTTCCTATTTTTCCCTTCTAGCCTTTTTTCGTCCTTTTTTTTTTTTTTCCGTCTTCTCTTTCTCAAATATCAATAAAATAAAACACCAACAATGAATAAAAATAAAATGATAAGAAGACTAAAAATAATAAGAATAGAAATAATAATAATATAAAAATAACAGTAATATTAATATTTAATTATTATGTAATTAAAAATTATTATTATCATTATTGTCAATAATTTTATTATAGTTTATTTTTACTATATATTTGATATATTTTTTATAAATAAAATTTAAATATGATAAATATAAAACAAATTATTCTTTAATTAAATACTTAATACTGTACCATTTTTTACAAAGATGTGGATTGCACTTTTCTTTTTTGTCGTGGCATAAAAATACATGATAAAAGGTCGTTGGAAATTTGATAAGAAGAAAACAAAAAATAGGTAAGTAAAGTAGTTCGACAATTCGAGTGTGGGACCCTTTCTACACTGAAATCAAATAGGTATGATTAATTCTTAAAACTTACAACAGACATCCACCGAAAATAAATTGTTACTTAAGAATAGATTTCAGGTAATCGATGTGGGAGTATAGATTGGCTTGGAAGACAAGGTAAATCATTTCCCAGCTTGAAAATTTCGCTTATGCTGTCGCTGATGCTTGTTCATGACTGACTATGTACATTATATATATGTATATATTTATATTTTTCAGTCACGAACGGATCAGAAAGGGCAGTGACGATTGGCGGTTGCCATGGCAACTCCGCGGTTCCTCTGTTTCCTTGCATTCTTCTTCAAAATCCTTCACACCATCTCCTCCATTACCGATCCTCGTGACGGTATAATGCTCTTGTGTTTTCAAGCATGTAATGGTGATGATTTGATTTTAGTGTTTTATTTTGAGTTTGGTAATGTAATTTAAATGGTTAAATTGATGCAGCTGCTGCTCTTCAATCTCTCAAGGATCAATGGAAGAATACACCTCCTAGTTGGGGAAAGGCTGATGATCCTTGCGGAGCACCTTGGGAAGGAATCACCTGCAACGACTCCAGGGTTACTGCAATGTCAGTTTTGTTTGTTTGTTTTTGGGAAATTATCGCAATGAGTACTTGAAGCGGACTTGTTCATGTTCAAATGTTGGCAGGGGTTTATCAACAATGGGCCTGAAAGGGAAACTAAGTGGTGATATTGGGGGCTTGACAGAATTGAGATCCTTGTGAGTAGAACCTTCCTCCCTTCAGAATTGGAGCTTTTAATTAATTTGCTTCTGTGTGGGGGCACTCTGGATTTTAAATCAGATTTCAGTACTGCTTTCTTCTTCTTCTCGTAATTAAGCTTGTTTGTTGTGCAGAAGACTGTGGTCATCTGTTGTGTCATTTATAATTAATGGGTGTAGAATAGGAAAATAGGGTTTGTGATAAAAGCGATATTAATTTCAGTAATGGAAACCAAATTAAAGAATGAATTCCATCTGCAGACTGCATTTTAATATGATTTATGATTTTGCTTTCAGGGATTTATCATTTAATCGAGGACTCACTGGTTCCTTGTCTCCCCGGTTAGGTGACTTGCAAAAATTGAATATCCTGTAAGATGACTGTCTGCATAATTCCTATATATCCAACATGGCATTGTGTAATAAACATTCCATTTCACCTTTCAGAATCCTGGCTGGCTGTAGCTTCACTGGCAATATTCCTCCAGAACTCGGCAATCTCGCACAACTCTCTTTCTTGTAAGAACTTACAATAGTGATATACATCAGTGACATTCACTTTCTCTTTTGATTTTTGTAACACAATGAGAACCGTGTTTGCTTCTTAGGGCCTTGAATTCAAACAACTTTACGGGCGGAATTCCATCTTCTTTGGGTAAACTCTCCAAGCTCTACTGGTTGGACATTGCAGACAATCAGTTGACAGGTGATCTTCCAGTTTCAACACCCACTGATCCGGGTCTCGACCTGCTTTTAAAGGCTAAGCACTTGTGAGTCCTTTTCAGTTTCCCAATTCAAGTTTGCATCCGACCACGGAAATGAGTGTTCCATTTATATGACCCTTGCAGCCACTTCAATAAGAACCAACTTTCAGGTACCATTCCCCCAAAGCTGTTCAGCTCTAAGATGGTACTCATACATGTGTAAGTTGACCCGTCATAACTTCTGGCTATTTGGTTTCCTAAATGTTTCTTTTCCTAATTGTTTTTCAGTTTAACCACAGGTTGTTTGATGGAAATCAATTTACTGGAAGTATCCCAACCACGTTAGGACTCATTCAGACTATTGAGGTTCTGTGAGTGAAAACTATAATAAATTTCATATAATTCTCATTTCTCTTACTATGACTGCATTCTTTGTTCTACAACGAAATTTGTTTTACATCCTGAAATTCATTGAAATTCACACTTTTTCAATGTGCCTCAGTCGGCTGGATAGAAATGCTTTGACAGGAAAGGTCCCATTAAATCTAAACAACCTCACAAACATCAATGAACTGTGGGTATCTCCTTAATTCTTTTTCTTCTTAGAATCGTCAGGTCGGTAATCACCCAACTGATTGTGCGGTTCTACTTTTCTTCAGGAATTTAGCACACAATAACCTGACCGGCCGTTTACCAGATCTAGCACAAATGAGTACACTTAATTATGTGTGAGTTGAGAGCATGGGAGTTTCCATTTTTTGTTGACTTGATGTATTGTTCATTTCAATGTTTATAAATGGTTTACTTTGACAGGGACCTGAGCAATAATTCATTTGATCCATCAGATGCTCCTGTTTGGTTTTCAACCTTACCCTCATTAACCACTCTGTAAGTCTTGAATAGTTCACAAAAATGTGAATATGAAACTCAGTTGCACAAGTTCCATAATCTGCTCTGTTCAGCAGGGTCATAGAGTATGGATCACTTGAAGGAACTCTACCACAAAAGCTCTTCAGCTTTCCTCAGATACAGCAAGTGTAAGCTTGAAGTTGAATGTATCATAACAGTAATTTAAAGTTGCAGTAAGTTGCAGAATATGTATGATTTTTTTTTATTGTGAACAGGAGACTCAAGAACAACGCCTTTAATGGTACATTGAACTTGGGTGACAGCATTGGCCAACAATTGCAGTTAGTTGATTTGCAGGACAACAGGATATCATCAGTGACCTTAAGTTCTGAATATACAGATACATTGATGTGAGATAGTTGATTGACCTAATTAATTAGTGATGGAAATGGAATCATGTGTCTGTATTTGTCTAACAGTAAGTGTTCAGACTTGTAGGAAACCCAGTTTGCACAACTGCTCTATCGAATACTAACTACTGTCAGCTTCAGCAGCAACCCACAAAGCCATATTCTACCAGTCTGGCAAACTGTGGAAGCAAATTGTGTCCACTTGATCAGAAGTTGAGCCCCCAAAGCTGTGAATGTGGTTATCCATATGAGGGTACGTTGTACTTCAGAGGACCTTCCTTTAGGGACACATCCAATGTGAACTTGTTCCATGCCCTGGAGATGAGCTTGTGGGTGAAACTGGACCTTACTCCTGGTTCAGTTTTTATTCAGAATCCTTTCTTCAACGTTGACGATTATCTGGAGGTGCAGCTCACACTGTTTCCCGCTGGTGGAAAGTATTTCAATAGGTCAGAAGTACAGAGGATTGGATTTGATTTAAGTAATCAAACTTACAAGCCTCCGCCAGAATTTGGACCGTATTACTTTATTGCTTCTCCTTATGCATTTCCAGGTAAGTAGGAAGATTTTGAGTTGAAGTTATATGTATACGCATAGAGTAGATGAGAAAACCAAGAAAACTAAGAAAAACATTTATTTTACTGTTTCAGCAGAACATGGGGGAAATTCTATAAGCCCTAGTGTTGTATTTGGAATAGCCATTGGGTGTGCCTCATTGGTTCTCTGCCTTGTGGGAGTAGTAATATATGCCATTCGCCAAAAGAAACGTGCTGAAAAAGCTATTGGGTTCAGTAAGCCGTTTGGTAAGCTGAGGCTCCTCCTGTCTACTTAGTACTGCTTGTTTGAATTTAGTTTTGATAGATTTTGTTTTCTTCTACTGTTTATACTTAACGATTCATGCATTCCTAACCAGATAAAAAAAACTTATTATTATTTGTACATATTTACAAGAAAAAAATAAATTAAAATTTAAGTTTAGACTAAGCATTCAAGAGGATTTTGTTAAGATACGATGACATTTCTTATTGTGGAGTCGACAATGTTAGTTAGAATTTTATTTTTACCATGTCTTTAAAAAAAGGTTGAGGCTAAACGGAAAGATTGTTAGATAAAATAAACTGAGGTTTTTTTTTGTTTCAGCATCGTGGGCACCCAGTGGAAAAGATAGTGGTGGGGGAGCACCACAATTGAAAGGAGCACGCTGGTTCTGCTATGAGGAACTTAAGAAGTGCACCAATAATTTCTCTGAAAGCAATGAATTAGGTTATGGGGGTTATGGCAAGGTAATTAAATTCTTTTTTGAAATTTGTAGTATAAATATGATAAGATGGTTTTTTAAAATAAAAATGGTGGTACTGGTCTACTTCAGGTTTACAGAGGCATCCTCCCAGAGGGACAAGTAGTAGCAATTAAAAGGGCCAAGCAAGGATCAATGCAGGGTGGAGCTGAGTTCAAAACAGAGATTGAGTTGCTTTCACGAGTTCATCACAAGAATCTTGTTGGGCTCGTGGGATTTTGTTTTGAACAAGGAGAGCAGATGTTGGTTTATGAGTACATGGCCGGAGGAACACTTAGACACTGCTTGTCAGGTTATTTCTTTCCCCTTTAAACAGTACCAAATTGGAGTAATTCATAACATTATCAGTTTAATTACTTAGTTTGTTACGAGTCCTACATTTATATTCAATTAGTGAATGGAACCTTTTTCAATCTTCTTGATTTCGTTGAAGTGAAAAGGGTTAAATAACTATAAAAACAAACTCAAATATGCAATAGTACTTGGGTTTTAAATTTCCATATGCATACAGTGGCAATACGTATACATATGCATTTGGTTTTAGATTATCTATTTATGTTAATTTCTATACCTGCCACCATGTACATATATATTAAGTGAATGTTTGACTAGGTTTTGTCTCTGCTTCTGCTTAGAACAGAAGTTTAGTCAAATACTTATAAAATAAAAAATATAAATGTTTCAAGGTAAACAAAAAGTTGTTGTTGACTAAAAGTTGAGAATAGATGTTTTGAGAAATGATTTATGCCTTAAGGGGTGAGAATATTTTCCATCAACATATTTATTAATTTTATATTTGCTATAACTTTTTAAATAATATTTATTTTAAAATTAAATTATAATAATTTCAAAGTAATATTTATTTTTAATAAAGTAAATATTTTAAAATCATTTAAATTATTAAATAATTTTAGAAGAAAAATAATATCATTTAAATAATTATAATAATTAATTTTATTATATATTTTTTTATGCATTTCAATACTTATTATTAATGGAATATAATATTAATTTTATATTTAAAGTATTTTGCACAACAAGCTTTACCAAATACTATATTGTTTTTTTTTTCTTTTTTCTCAAGTGTATGTTATTTTTCATTTTAAAATTATTTTTACTGAAAGTTATTTTCAAAGTATTTTTACTATGTCACAGCAAAAATACCAATTTGACTAAATAGATCCTAAATTAATTAAATAGTTAACCATTTGATCTATTCAACTTGTTTGACTATGTAAAATGGTATAAAAGAGTGACATAAGTTGAACTTAAAGACAATTAAAAAGAAATGCATTTATCATATTTAAAGATGAAAATAGATTTAATATGTTATTATAAGAAATTGTTTAAGCTAAATCAAAATTTACAAGAGTACATCGTGCAGATGAATTGGGCATCCTACATTTTAGATTATATTATAAATAAAACTGCTTAGTTGGTTTTGTGAACCATGGATTTTAGGAAGATCAAATATCGAATTTGATTGGAAAAGACGACTACGAATTGCTCTTGGGTCAGCTAGAGGACTTGCTTATCTGCACGAGCATGCAAACCCTCCTATTATCCATAGAGACATCAAGTCCACCAACATTTTACTTGATGAAAATTTGACAGCCAAAGTTGCAGATTTTGGATTATCAAAATTAGTATCAGACACCTCTAAAGGACATGTCTCAACTCAAGTTAAAGGGACGCTGGTGAGTATGAACGAAACCATTTATAATATATTATGACGCATATAATAGTAAGTATTAGGTAGGGTTAGAAGTCTTTGGTAACTTTAATACCCATGTTTTATCTTTAGTGGTCATGGTGTTAATAATTTTACTATTAGTCATATAATATAATAATATTAATTTAAATAAGTGAACATTTTATATTTTAAAAAGTTTGTGTGTAGCGATTGGATTAGCCTTTTCAAAAGTAAAAAGAAAACCTAAAAATTGGTTTTAGTACTCCTAAATTTTTTCAAATTTTGGCAGTTCAAATTTTCTTTTCTAAGTATTTTATTTAATTCCAATGTTTTCTAAAATGATAAAAAGGTCTAATTTGAGCAGTTCATATGTCAAAATTTTCAAAAGTCTACATCATCCACGTGTTTAAGCTAATTGGTTAAAACTGTTTGGACTAATAATGAAACTTTTGGTATTGAATTTGAAATTACTGATTCTAAACTATAACGGGATATGAAATTAGAGGTTTTGGTTACAGGGATATCTGGATCCAGAGTACTACATGAGTCAACAATTAACAGAGAAAAGCGATGTTTTCAGTTTTGGAGTGGTAATGCTGGAGCTAGTAACAGCAAAGCAACCAATTGAGAAGGGAAAGTACATAGTGCGGGAGGTCCGAATGGCAATAGACAGAAGTGAGGAGGAGTACTGGGGTCTAAGTGATCTAATTGATCCCAGGCTTAAACGGTGTAGAGATGAGATGGGTAATAATGGATTTGTTAGGTTTGTGGAGCTGGCATTGCAGTGTGTGGAAGAATCAGCTGCACATCGTCCAACCATGAGTGAAGTGGTGAAGGCTATTGAAACCATTCTACACAGTGATTTATCTGCTACTACTTCAGCATCTTCATCAGCTACTGATTTTGCCTCTTCAAAATTACATCTTCATGCATTTGATTACAGTGGTGGATTTACTTTTTCGTCAAAGCTTGAACCCAAGTAGGATATTCATTCCTTCAACTTTCGGTTTTTTTTTTTTTTTTCTTAATTACTTGCTATCTTATTTTATAAATTTATCTTCTCTCTTTCTCCATCTCTTGTCTGCTGCTTTTTAAAGTTGTAAAGGTAAAATATTGGTTCATACTGTAACAAGAATGTCTTGTATCCTCAAAACATAACGTATCAAATCCATAAATAGTTAGTAACAAGTTGTGGTTAATACACAGATTAGAAAAATAAACAAATTAACTAATTTCATACTAATATATCTATATCTTTAAATAGTATCTCCATCTTAAATGTCATTTAGTTCCATATACTATAATATATATATTTGATAGGGGAAGAAATATTGTTAAGCCAAGGGAGACGTATCGATTTAATATAATAAATTTAAAATAAATTCATTTCATTCAATTTTTTCATCCACAATAAATTTCTTCAATGTATTATGTTTTTTTATTGTAGGTTTGGCAATAACTTCTAGGTGTTGCTTTTGTGTTTTGAGAAACATTATCTTAAAATATTATAAATATTTTTGACAAAAAATAAAATTAAAATATATTTTTAATATAGATAAACACATAAGTAGACTTCCTAAGTTTTTTCAAAAATTATTTTTACTTTTAAAAAAAAGATTTATAAATAATTTTTCAAAAATATCTTTATATAAATTTATTAATTACAACTTATTCCTATTTTTAAAAAACGAAAATATATTTTTCTTCAAAAACCCTAGTTAATGACTCCAAGTCTTCTAAAATCTCTACCTTCCTCCCTTGGCCACACAACTAAATGCCACCAAGCTAGGGCCACTGGACAGTGCAGTTCTTGACCATGGAATCGCCCACTTCATCAACTTTGATTTAATGTCTTCATTCAATGCTTACTCTCCCTACTAAATAGTATCACTTAGGTTTCCATGAGGGAACTAACGGAGAAACGTGCAATGGCACTTGCGTCCTCCCACGGCTACGAACCAAGGTAAAGCTTTGATTAACAAAAATATCAATCATAATCAGGATAACGATATGGCTGTGGACTAAGTTTGTCTCTTTGAACCACTTGTGAATGTAAATTTTTACTCAAATCGATGGGTTAGACTACAGTTATGAGAGTTTTATAGTTTTATATATATAAAAAAATAAAATTTACCATATGCATTGGTATTTTTTCTAATAATGTCGTTTTTAATCATTCTTTTACTATCATAATTTTTTTAAGTAATTCTAAAAGAAAAGTAAATCATTAAAATTTCAATTTAAAACGTAAAATTTAAGAATTGGGTAACAAAAACTTCTATGATTTTAAAGAGTTGAACAAAGAACATTCTTATTAACATGATAGAAAAATAACTAGAAGTAGTAAATTATTGAGAGAAAATATGAGCTCTAAAGGAATTATTGTCTTATCCCCTTCGAGATGACATAGACCATTACCTCTGAACGTTTTAATATAAATTGTTTTATAATTTTTATTACTAAGAAGAAACAAAACAATAATATTTCATGTTTATAGTATGGCACAAATTGAGTACTAAACCAAATCTTTATATAAGTGATGCACACTTAGTAGATCACTTAATTCAACTTTTTGAAATTCATTTTAGTCATAAATAAGTAAAAAACTGCCACAAGGATAAAAGAATTCTAAATAGTTTAAAATTTTGGTGAACCCTAGAAATCAAACGCAAGTAAGTCAATTAAATATTTATTTCTAAAGGTTTTTAAAACGTAAAAAATTTGAGAAATAGATTTTCTGTACAAGAAAAATGAGATTTCATGGTGATGTACATATATTGAAGACATGATTTCTTTATATGTTGTATTAGGTAAACATTTAAATTAGATGTTAAAAAAATGAATCACAAAGAGACAAAGATTGCATATGATTATTCGCTGAAGTCTAGTTAGGAAACGAAACCTACCATCATTAATTTTGCTTTGTTCTTAGGTTCTAAGCTCAACATTGAACATATTTTCAGAAGAAATAAATATGGAGGAGAGGACACTGTTGAGTCCCAAGCTTCAAAATCCTTGTATATATAGATGTTAACTAGGCTTGGTATATATAATGGTAATTATGAGATCTAAGCAGAAACTAAAGTTATTTTCTTGTAAGATTTATATTAAAATGGAAGGATATATGCTTATTTTCAATAGGCATATCTTATTCTCTCTCTAGATATTCTACATATATTAGCTTAACTAGTAAAATCTAAATTGGATTTGTTTTATTTTACCCTCAATCAATTCATATGTTGATTTTAAGTATGGTAATGCATCTAGTGAATGGTTGCATGTAATTATTCTGCTTAAAAAAGTAATATATACTTGTGAAGACCCGCTTTATCAATTTTTATTATATATCTTACATACTGAAAAAAATATATTTATTCATAAGATATTCTAATAACAATTTTATCAATTATTTACTAAAATATTATTTTGCATTTTATTGATGAAATCTAATTCGACTATACACAATAATAATTTTCTTATTAAATTTAAGTCAGATTTAATTAAGGACAATAATATTAATTTATAATATCTATGAATAAAATAGCATATATATATATATATATATTACATGCATGCAAGCTTTACATATAGATTAATGAAAAAATGCGGATAATTAAAGCAATTCCCATGAAGCAATAATAATTATTTCTATAATGGAAACAGTGACAGAATCATTGATATGTGCACAATTCAAGTAATATATAAGTTGTTATACTAACTCTATGAAAGAAATTTAAATTTCATATTGATTTTAATAGTTATTTTGGTTCATGAACACTACTACATTATCACCATATGTATAAAATAGAAGATAATGTTCTTACTACATTTCATCTGAAAAAAATAATTTAAACTGAATTGATATTTGTTAGTGCTATTATAGATTATGTACATATAAGATATTCATTGTCATTGGTCAATTACTTTCATGTTGGATTCATTTTATACTAAAATGACTAGGGTTATATCATTTATAAACTCTTACATATACGTGCGAGTGAATTTATGTTCTAAAAAACTCTAAGAGCCATAAAAATTTAAATTGTTACAACTAATGCATTATAATGTAGTTTATTGATTTTCAAACTTACTATTATATTGGATAAAATTAAATTAAATTGGTATAAGATTCTCATTAATTGAAGTTGGTTGAATGAGACTTATGAGAGTTAGGAAACTAGTTTTATTGTTTTTTTTTTTAAAGTATAGAATTACATTAAAAGGTCAAAGAGTGCTTTATTAAGTATATTAATGCTCTTATCTTCTATATAGATTTTAAAGGTAATTATTATCATTATTTAAGAACTAAATCTAAAGTTGAACCACCCAAAGAAGAAAAATGTGTAGGTTTTGCTTGTGGTTTTGCCTTGGAATAATTTTAATATAATGCATTTTATTTGCTTCCACTTAATTTAAAAATATATATATAGTCTTCTATCGTGATCTCTACTTTTATTAAGAAAAATTATAGAACAAAGGAGGATGGATCTTCTTATATAAAAAATTCCTTAATCTCATTTTATGAAAAAAAAAAATATGAAGACATATTTTGTATTTATAATAGGCTAATATATGAAATTTTTTAAAAAATATTGAATATCATCATCTTATCTATCCAAGAACAAAGAGAATATGGCAAAGAATTAATTAATTAGTTTTTTTAGAAAACGTAAATTTAATTTAAAAATTAAATTAGTTTATTTTAATAGATCTTGAACGTAAATAGCCATTTATTTTTTAGACTTCAATTAGGGTATAAAATTTTGATTCTACAGCCAATTGCCCTTTTGTCCTTCCAAAATTAATAAATTTACTGCATTAGAAAAGAAAAAAAAAGGAGGAGAAATGTGATTCAAGTCAAAGATCAAATTTTACCCAAATCTAGCTAGGGAACTGATTATGGTATATTTTATCAGACTTAGGATTCTTATTTTAATTGATTGTTTTATTAAAATTATAACAGCAATACTTGTAGTATTTTACCTTGAAAGAAATATTTGCATTACGACTCTTCCCTTTTTAAGAAATCTAAAATATAGAGATTTTAAGCATTTTCTCATCATAACTTCTATATTAAGTTAGCTTAAAACCATTTCATTTAATGTTATGTTTTCTAAATCGATTCTATATTCAAGCTTTCTTTCTTGCTTTATATCATTTAGATAATAGCTTTAGCACTTTATAATTCGAGATATTAACCAACACACTTAGAAGAGATATTCACTTCCCACCCTCCCATAACTATGCTATTTATACTTATCTTTGTTTCAAGAAAGGGATACTTAAGGCAATTTATTAAGGAATTTTATTCGCTATTTAGATATTTTTGTGATGGATAATCATGAGGAGAAAAAGGTAGATAAAATGTTAGGTAAACTCCTCCTAAAACTTCTCAATCTATCCCCGCCTTCAAAATTCTAGGAAATTGTTATAAAGTCTTCATGACTTAGAGAAGATTTTTATTGCGGAAAGCACAAAAGAAAAACTAGATATAAACTAATTTAATATGAAATTAAACTAACAAAAAAATAATTAGACTATGACTCAATACGTTTCATAATAATAAAAGCGGAATATATAAATTCCAAAATCTGGACAGCCAAGGAATCCTTTACAGCCTAATTAACATTATTACCGACGCAGATTTTTCAAACTGATGAGTTCTGGATAATTTTGCAATGAAATTCTGCTAAGAAAGACTATGAAATAGGAAGATTGATTCAATATGCAATCAGCTTGTGCAGAGAGAAAATGGGAAGAAAGTTTCGATTGTGTAAAAATAAAGTTCTGTTTTATTACTGAAAAAAATATGCTATTTTATACAGTGTAAATTTACACAAGTGACCCCTTAAATTTACGTATTTACAATAAATCTCCTGTACTTACAAAATTTACACTGACTCCATATGTCTAATAGCCCCCCCTCAAACTGGAGTATATAAATCTTGAATATCCAGCTTGACCATTGCACCATGGAAGTGAGAAGTAGGAAAAGGCTTGGTGAAACAATCTGCTAACTGATGAGAAAAAGAGATAGGTAGTAACCAAAGATGCCCTTTAGAAATCTTCTAATGAACCACGTGACAATCTATCTCAATATATTTAATTTTTCCATCAAAGATCGAGTTTTCAGTAATTTTTAGAGCAGATAAATT